ATTCATGAACTTTGAATAGTTTGTTTTATATAATTAGATTAATAAGTGTTCTTTATACTCACAGGCTAATTACGCAAATAAAACGAAATTAAATAATAAGTATTCAAGAACTTGAATAGATACTTAGATTGATAAATGTTCTTTATACTCACGGACTAAATGAATGCAAATAAAATAATAAATATTCACGAACTTTGAATATTATTTTAATTACTTAGATTAATATGTTCTTTATACTTACTGACTAAATTAATGTGAATAAAATGAAAATATGAATATTCGTGAGCTTATTTTAAATATTTAAATTAATAATATTACTTACGAACTAATTTAGCGTGGATAAAATAATTTTAAATCATATTATTTTAGAATTTTAATATTTAATATAATTTTCATTATACTTACTCCCTAAAGGATCAAATAGGTTTAAGCTTTATTTTTAAATATATTAACGAAAAATTAACAAATAATTTACTTTTTGCGCCAATAGTCGGACTTATCATAACTCTTTTCTACACCAATTCCGTAATTGTAACAACAGGCAGTTTTCCTAATTCCCATAGAATTACCGGCTTCAGCTGATCTTAAATAATGCATAAACGCTTTATGCTTATCCATTTTAACGCCAACTCCTAAATAATAACAATAACCAACTTGATATATTCCTTTAGGATTATTCATCTCTGCTGATTTTTGATAATTAATAAATGCCTTGTTCTCATCCTTTTCAACTCCAATTCCATATTCGTAACAATAACCAAGCCAGAATGTTCCGGATCATTTATATCTGCTAATTTTTGACATTCGATAAAGTTCAATTGATCAAAATCATTGGTAATTATATCTGATGAGTTATCGCCTTTTGTATTTGACATTTTTAGAACATTAAGTGCTATATGAAAGGAATTATTGAAATGTTAATGAGCACATCTGGTCAAATAATGTATTTTAAATCTATATTTAAATGCTGTACGTTCGTCATACGTGCGTACAGCAATTTCCAAAAGTATATACAAAACACAAAAAACATATTAAAAATTAATAAATAAGCAAATTAATAATGGTCCGGAGCGAAACAGAGGGGGCTCATATTCTGTGCACTTTGATAAAAGAAATTATATTTTAAAAAGTAATTGCCCTGAAAGGTTTGGGAGCCCTAATTTCCCCCCACAGTTGTGATTGGATGCATGAAACCCGTCTTTGATTGGACAAACTTGATCACGTCACAAAATTCAATAAAAAATAAAATAAAATAAAATAAAATTATTTTTTTAAGCGAAAGTATTTTATTTATGCATTTCCAGAATTCTCTCTGCTAGTAAAAAAAAAAAAAAATCGAATAATCTAAAACATTACCGAAAATAAGTAATTTTCATAAAATTTTTGTTCGGTATTTTATTCTCAAGAGAATAAAATTTTGCTGAGACCTACGTTTACAGACTTGTAATTTTAAAATACAACCAAAGCTTTTTCAAAATTCCTTACCTATATTCTTGGCCACAATTTTTACTTTGTTAAAAAATAATTAATCGGCACGAACATTTTATTGATACAGATACAATACTGCAGATAAATAAAATGCTACGGCAAGTACTAATTAATAGATTTGTTTTAATATTAATACGATAGTAATGTAACTCAAGTTCTCAAAAGCCATTTTCCCGAAAGAAAGTAATTAGCCAGTGCAATGTTTTTTCAGGAAATAGCTTTCGGAAATCGTACAGTAACCCTGATACAATACTGTTATAGATGCTAGTTTGCTAATAATTAAATGTTACTGCTAATTTGCTAAATAATTAGTAAATTTTCATACACTACAAATACAAACCAAAAAAAAAATTAATAATGTTTATTTCAATTAAAATTTTTACATAAAATTGGCGAAAATTTATATAATCGCATACACGAAATTATTTATTAAAAAAATTTGAAGTACTAAACTCAAGAGCAAACCGTTAGTATTAAACAGTGAAAAGGACTATTTTTTAAAAAAAAAAAAACTCAAAAGAGCAAAACGTTAGTATTAAACAGCAAAAAGATTATTTTAAATGATGTAATTGGGTAATTGGTTTCGTCTAGTGGAAAACATTTATATTCGTCCAATGAGAAGTGTGAGAAGAAATTAGTAAACCCCAAATTTATAAATTGAAAAATCCATTAAAGTTATCGTTATATCGAACTTTAACCAGTTCCTAGTATTAATCGCATAAGCAATATTTATATCCTGAGTAATTGGCGGTTTTATTTTTCATATATCAAACCCAATTAAAACCGGTTTTAAAATATGAAAAATAAAACCGGTTCCAAACTCTAATCGCGTAAGCAACCGATCTAAGTTATCACTGATTTATCCACCATTCACATAACTTCGGCGTATTTATTTTAAAAATAACCCCTTTTCTTACGAGTTTCCTTTAATGTAAAGATTAAAATGGTTAATGTTTATATCCGAATACCTAAGATAAATAGTAGGTTGGATAGGGAATAATAATTATACATACATGTTAAATATTAGTATATAATTCGAGCCTCTATTAATAATAGTTTGAATATACGAATTATAAAAATTAAGATTTCCGGGTTTTTTTTTATATTCATCTAAAATGTTATTGTTGTACCCCGGATTGGAATCCGCCCAATCCGGAATCCGGCTATCCCAATTCAGAATCGGGGTAACCCAATTTAGAATTCTTATGTGGGTTACCCGGATCAAGAATTTTGGTCGACACTCGATTTATGTACGTTCGATTGAAAATAAATTATTGATCGTGATTTAAATTAAGCATTCGCAGTTGCAAAGTGTGTATAGTCAGTCATATGAGAGCGAAGTAAATGACGATTTTGTACTATGATGCAATTAATTAAAGTTTAAATTTATTATAAATAAAAAAAATGTGATTAGTATTCTTTTTTTTTTTTTTAAAAAAAAAAAAAAGAAATAAATAAAATAAACTTACTCAATAGAACAAGGCTCTGAGATATATACAGCTTACTATTTATTCCTTTACTGATTATTTAATGTCAAATATTATAGATATAGACGCAAATTTTTCATGGGCCTGGTGATCGTTATGCATAGTATTTGCAGTGCTTCCCAGAAATATGTATCACCTTGTATGTTGATTTGGCATTCTTGACCAAAAATTTTCAGCTGGTGCAGTTTTACTACTTGGACCAAAAGAATATCCAGAGCTGGATAATCTTCCAACCAACACGACTGTCAGTATGATTGAGGCGGCAAGATTGCAATCTAATACTCTTGCTAGTAACAAGTATGCAATTGTGTCTTACAGCAAGATATATTTGCAAAAAGCAAATATTGTATGTGGAAGTGGATGTTATTTGAAGAATTCAAAATGTAAGCACCAAGCTTAAAACTGAAAATAGAAAATAAGTTTAATTTTTTTATTTTAAATTATGTATTTTGCAGCATTGTATAATCTTATTGTCTGGGCAGCTAATTTAGTTAACTATGGAAATTTTATTTTAAGCGTATTATTTTAATAAATAATGTTCTTTCTATTTATATAAGCCATGCTTTTAATCCAGCAATTAATTACATTATTCAAAATCGTATAATACATTTTAACAAAGGTAGCTTTGTTTTATGTCAATTCATGACTTCTGTCGGTCTTAAATTAACATGTGTTACTTTAAGATTTATACCGATCAGAATATGACATATGTTAAATTAGCTTTAATGTTTTTGTTCAAACTCCTATCGGGTGAAAAATAAGAACCGCAGTAAAGCGGAAAGTAAAACTAAAACGTTAATTTAATAAACTTTTTAATTGCATAAACTATATGATTACAAATATATAAATAATAAAGATGATTTTAATATTTTTTTTCGACTTCTTTATTTCATTTCGACTTCTTTATTTCAATATGACTTCAAATAATTCATTAGTTTACCTGTTTATTTTACCTCAAAACTTTGAAAAAATAGTTAATGACTATATGAATAATCGTAAAAATGAAAGACATATAATGAATCGCTCAAAATATAATCGTGGCTTAACTCTATTACGAAATCCTTCAAGTACATATGAAAGTCCCAAATTTAAATACTGGGTTCTTCATACATTTATAGTAGTTAAAGTTGGGATGATTGAGGAATTAAATCTTAAAATAGAAAATAATAATTGTGGTAGACAAGTTTGTCCTATCAAAGACTTTTATGTTGTAATCTGTCAAGCACATCAAGGCACGGAGCATGGTGGTTAGGAAAAAACATAGTTGAAAGTAAGTATTTTATTTAATAATAATTACTGAATTAAAAAAATAAAAATAAAAAACTCACTTAATTTATATAATATATAGATTCGGCAAAGATATTGTTTTATTCCTTAAACAATTGTTGAAAATACAATAAAACAATGCAACATATGCATTACACGACGTGCAAATAAACGAGTACCTGCAATAAGACCTATAATTGCAGAGAAATTTCTTGCACATGTTCAAGTAAGAATTTATATAGTTATATATATAATTTGTTTAAAGTGTTAATTACAAATACTTATATTTTAAAGGTAGATATAATAAGTATGACTGCAGCTCCAAATGGAGAATTTAATTATATTATCCATATTAGAGACTGCTTTACACGATTTTCTGCTACTAAACCTACTAGAACAAGATCTGCAGAAGAAGCTGCAAGTTTTCTTTTACGATTTTGTTTGATGTATGGACCACCAGCAATCTTACATTTAGATAATGAAGGCGAATTTGGTAGTGAAATAGTAAAAGAAACAATTAAACTTTGGCCAACTATTAAGTTTATTCATGGACGTCCAAGGTATCCCCAATATCAGGGTTCCGTTGAAAAAGGTAATGATATTCTTCAGACGAAGCTTGGTGCATAGATGGAAGAGACTAACCGAAAAGATTGGAGTATTGGGCTACTATTTGTTATTTGTAAGTAAATAAAAAAATTAAAGTATAATTTATTGTATTATTTAATGTTAAGTAATTAAACTTTATCCAATTTAGGGGTGATGAACTGCCAAGAATGTAAATCAACAAAGTCAACACCATATCAACTTGTGTTTAGGCAAGATCCACAATCTGAATTACCAATGATTTCGATGCTTTATCAGCAAAACATTATACACGAAGATGATATTCCCTTAGAAAATCAATCAACTTCAATTAATTATACACTTCAATTAAATTCAGTTAATTGTATACAGTATCTTTAAATCAACCAACTTCGATTTTAAATAATCAATCAAATTTGACTTCGGTTAATCATATACCTTTAAATCAATCAA